TGAGAACAGTACGAACTGTGTTTATGCGTTCTATTTAATCATAAAGTTATCTCCAAAGGATAAGATTATCTAAGGATTCAAAACTACCCCATCTTGAAGTGTTTTGAAGATAATACTAGAATAAGCCTTATGCTAAAAGATATTTTCTACCTAACTTTCATTGTTCAAATGTTAGCCATTCTTAATTTGTGACATCATAAAATTCGCCATATTATATCCTATATTTAGGATGATAAGAAATGATTTCATAATTTGATGGTGTATGTTCATTTTCCGGTTAACTCATTGTTTTGTTCTTACTGTATTCTTAGCAGTACTGCAGATATAACTTTTTGCGAGTTAAGATTTGTCTTAAAAACACCGTTTGTAATTAAGATGAGGCAAGTTATCTTGTATATTTATATATCAAATAAACTAATAAACCTTGATGTTAACAAAATAACCTGCTCTGAAATATTCTTAGGAGTTTACTATATAAAATTAATTTAAAGAATATTGACGGAAGGTTTGATGCTTTTCGATGAGTTCAAAGGTCATACCCCACAAGATACACATATATTGCCAATATCTGCTACCAGGTTTATATTATTGATTAGAGCAATTAATAGCTTTGTAAATGTATATAAATAGACATATTGTATAAGAAAATTGAGAACTCTTTATTTGAGTAAAACGATAAAGCTCAGTTTCAGTAATAGTGGGTGATTATGAAGAAACTTGCTCTATCTCGTCAGTTGCATTTCATATATACGTACATCCTGAACATTTAACAAGTCTTTAATCTATCGTCCCATAGGAAAGTGTTTTTTCTTTCTTATGGGAAGCATGGCCTTTAGGTTCGTAGAAATTTAATAGGTCCTCCTAAAAAATGTTCATATTAGTTTTATTTCACCAGATAAACTCCTAGAGTTATGTTAGGAAGACCTTTGTCAACGCCACGGTTTAAGTAGGTTATTTGATATATAAGTATGTCGCATAACTGAGCGTTTTATACAAGGTTTACCTGATTTTCTTCACAATCTATATATTTCCAAGACGCACACTATCCCACAAAAAGTGATACCTATATATTTTTTTCTGATCATTATGTATAAATCCAAAATATCGGACATTTAAAAAATTAAACTCGGATGGAAAAGTGTCTTTTGACATAACATTCATTATGACTGACCTCGCCCCAATTCTGATGTAGTAATTTGCACTAAACTTCTGTTGCTATGCTTATTGTCAAGAGCTGCACCGACCTTTTATTCTGTGTTAGTAGAAGAAATGTTTTAACTGATTTATAAGATTGCGGCAAATCGTAGTTTAAATTTACATATGCATATGCTATCATTAGTATTGGGTTATCTTTCTTTTAAATGCGCTTGTTAATCAATTGGCTTATTGGGATTTTCAGATATATCTTAAAATATAAGCAAATGACACTAGTTTCAGTTTGAGCATATTTATTTTTTAAGCTGACTATAACCTAATAAAGCTGCCTGAGGGTGCCGTGGGAAATATGAACTTTGGATGGATAGGACATGTATTTGTTGACGTGGAAATGATTTTGGTATCAGCGTCTGATTAGTCTATTAAAACTTTTGGATAATTAAAATTCTAAAAAGCGTTAACATGTGTAAAATTTAAGTAGGTAAGTTTCTGAAATCTTTTCAAGCGAACTAATACGTTCCTGTAAATGTTAGTTGAACACAATGTACATGTTAAGAACTCGGTAAGAAACTAACGTGATTCGCATGTTTTTTGTCACAATACTTCTTTTCTTAAAGTCGCCGTGTATCTGAGATTCTTTGGTTTGCGCCCGTTATCGCAAAAAAAATATGGCGTTCCGCACTTCGGGGCTGTGGGTGCTTTATAAGAGTAATGATAAAATCATACTGTTTGGTTTAACAACAGTTGGCGTTGGGTGATGCTGACTAGCTGCCTTCCCTCTAATCTACATTTCAAGATTAGGTACAGCTAGCGCAGGTAGTTTTCGACAAGCTTTGCGCGAACTTCAACAAAGAAGCAAAAATAAACTAAAAGCCATTGCAGTTGAAGAACTAACACATAAAGCTATTTCATTTATAAATAAGCAAGTTCGTAATATATTGATATTTTTATGTTACCACTGTTAATGTCGCCAAAACTCCTGTAATCCAGAAGAAAATAACCTCTTACCAAAATCTTAGGCTAGTCAAGTAAATCTGCACCTTAAGATTATGATGCGCATAACATGTATTGGCTTATGTTCAGTGTATAAAATTTTGTAATTGTTTTACATGTCGTACTTATTTGTTTTGAATGTGCATCCATTATCATTTCATATAAAAAAGAAATAAATGTTGGAATACATCACGAAAGAAATTACGGTATTTCTGAAAATAAATGAAATAACACAACTATACGTCATCCATAACATTAACGGCTAAACATTTGGAGATATTCTAGATAATGTTGAGAATTTGAGAAGTATTAGACTAAATATGGATTAAATATGAATCCTTAAACTAGCAAGTTAAGAAGTTGTATAATCAGCCACAGAACTTACTGTTTCAGTTTTTAACACTTTGTAACATTTGTTAGTCTTGTGTTAGCTAACTAAAAACTCCTTAGGAAAAAAGTAGGATAATACAACAATTTAATTTTTAAATAAAAGCAATTTTTTTTTCTTACGGATGTTGTTCTTAAACATAGGCTGTTATGAAAACATTCCATTCTTAAAGGATGTGGACCATATGCATACAAAGGAGTCTTCTTAAGTCATTTTTATGATTTATAATTTCTTTTAGGTAATTACTTTTGCGAGAATATTATTGTTCTTTATGGTGAATTTTGTAGCATCAAATCAATTATGCTTTACCTATTTGCATCACTGTGTTTTTGACGGATTGATTTTATATTTCTAAATAAATATGATTTTCAACCTACGAAGAGTATTCAGAAGTTCTGGTATCTTGTTTATTGTTCTTTATTTCCACTCTTTAGTTTTCCTTGTGTTTGTCAAGGAGTACAGCTGCTGTCCTCAACGTCAGCTGTTTTGTAGTTGTGCTGCCCATGTGTAGGGGATTCTGTTATCTCCTCTATTTGCTTGCTGGCAAGGTAGGTAACTCCTACTGTGGTTAATATAGGTATTAAAGAAAAAACTGTTTGTCATATCCTAGCTATATTGGCCAAATCAGCCATTTTTACCTTTGTTTCATAAATGTTTTGAAGAGTTGAAAAGAAGAAAGCTGTGCAATACAAGCAACATGAAATCCCATATCATACAGCCTGAAAACTGCAGTTTTGAACTGTATCAACTCTCATCAGCTTGGTAAAGTCGAAGATATGTCTTTCAGTTGTGGAATATAAAATAAGTGTTATTATGCATTATTTTTGTGCTTTGTTTCCTAGTAAGACTGTTATGCCTGTAACTTCGATTTAGTTTTTTTATTTATAATGAAAGTAAAATTTTCATAGTCAATAGGCACTGTGAACAGAATTTTGTTTTATTTCTACGCTTAGAGCTAAAAATATTTCTAACAAAATACATTGTTTGGATATTGATATTATTGGGCATGCATATGAGCCACTTTTGAGAAACATAAGTTATCCACCGACGTTCAAACGCTAACTCATACAGTGTTCCTGAATGAACTCATCACGTGTTCAGTTCCTTGTACTGATAAAAATAAAAGCATTAAAAACGTGTAATAGTTGTAGTCGTAATCTATTAATATACCACATGATATAATAGAATCAGATCATCAACTGAATGTTTGAAGTTTCTACCTACTCGTCTTCCCTTCTGCCTTCGTATAAATGTTTACGTGAAAGGAAAAATAAATGAAAATTCTACTCTTCGAGTGGGGGTGAATATGAAAAATACTTGAAACTAACATGACAAATTTTGTTTTTACTAAAGCCTTTATCATATAACTACTCCACTATTATCTGTAAATGCACTTTCGTTAATTGTTAGACACTGAGCTTCCAGTGTTTTACAATTAGATTACAATTATAAGTTGTAAGAATCTATGTAAAAGTACAATTTTTATATTCCAAGTTGTGAATCTTACGGTCTTTCCAGATTACAAAATGTTGAGAGCTATTTTTATCCATAGTAGTTAAAATGCACAAAATAATATTTTCAGGAGAAATATGATATTTCAAAGCTTCCTTCTTATTCCAAATCGGAAAGGACGATTTGGTGTCGAACTTGAGAAGGGGGGGGGACTTCACTTGAACATTTTTTTCTTTTTTCCATCAGTATAAGGCTTATTTTTCAGGAAAAGCTGAAGAACAGTATATCATATTTCCAAGATCCTCTCGCCTTCGAAACACCAGAAAACAAGTACTTTTTCCGATACATGCGACTTGTTCGTGATAAGTGTCAAGAAAAATAATATAATAATATATTCAAAACAATTCATACGTATGTACACAAATTATTTACACTGTAGAATGCCACAGTTGTATCTAAAACTAAGTAATTCTCTTTTTCTTGTCAAAAGTCTACACAGGCTAATTCAATTTCTTTAGAACTCAGTTGACAAGACGAATTGTTTGTCTCTACTCTGTTTCTTACTGCACAATCTTTAGATTCACATACGTTAACCCATGTTGTATCCAGAACTTTAAATAATTGTCTCCTTTTCGTCAAATTCTACACAGGCAGGTTCAATTACTTTAGAACACCCTTTGACAAGACAAATACTTCTTCATCTCTTATTACAGAACCACAGTGAAACTCAGTTTAAATATTGCCCGTTACGACTAAACTAACAACAACGCAGTCTAACTTACACGTGTACGACTCGGACAGAGTTGCGTAACGAAACTTGTCATAACTATCGCTTTTAAAATAATTACTTTTAATACTTGTTATGAAAACTAAGTGATCTAATATTTAATGATTATTAAATGAACTAAATAATAACTCTTACAATAAACAGTCTTGTGTTTCCAACAACTTGTAAATTTGTTTATAAGTTGTATAAGCTTGTGAATCTTATTGGCAGTTTTAAAACTTCCTCCTGATTTTTCTTTTAAAGAATAGTGTTTAATTGGAAATTATTATTTTATTTTAAATTTAGCATCCATGTTTCTCGATTCGTTGCTGGATCGACGAAAGTAAAAACATTCACATCATCTGTGATTCCACTATTGTTGTAGCATCAAGTAAGTTTGAATTTATTAAATTAAAATATCAATATAACCATTCATATTATCCTTGCTGTAACCTAATTTGCAGCATCAAGTGAGTTTAGCTTTTGTTTTCGTAGTTATATTTAAGATGTTTTATATTATATTAAACTAATCAAAGTTAACATGCTCGCACTGTTTATGCTGACATAAGGATATTGATTTAACTTTTACTAATGCTGTTCATACACTCGAAAAGTATCTATCTTTTAATAAATGAAATAACAATTTATGTATTGTTGTTGTAGTTTTGTTTGACATCGTTTTTGTTATCTGTTGCACGAAAGATTTGTAATTATATATAGACTTAAACACGGTGTAGTGCACGTTGTGCAGCTTCCGAGTGAGATACGATTTAATAAGAAGAGAACATTAATAAAAAATATTGATTGTGAAAATTATCTATAAGGAGTAGAAATAACGTTGAAATAGAGAATTTTGTTGACTAGTACAAAAGAGAACTTCAATAATATATGAAAGTTAAATCTGATCGATAAATAGGCGAGTTTGTTTGGATGTTTTCGGGGTAGTTAAGTGTTTAAAGACACTTACGCGCTTGTTTGGTTATAGTGTGCTTAATTGTTTTTATTTAAAACTCAAGATGTCTTAAATACTCTCACTAAGATCATGGTTTGTTAGGTTTTATATCTATATATGATCATCTATTACGCCGAATAAAAGCCCCTCGATGTGGATTAATGTACGTGGTGAGGGGACCTCCCAGGGAAGGCTCTGTATTTACAATTACTTTCTCTGGGATCTAAACATCCACCCACGTGTTTGC